AAAAAAAAAAAAAAAAAAAAAAAAAAAAAAAAAAAAGTATGCTGATTTTTCCACTGCTGCATTTTCCTTAAAGCCGGTGTGGCGATCCATTCATCATTGTTAAAAGGTTTATCTTAGGCCGTAAGAGGGACCACCAACACACGGATTGTGGCTCCTAGCGGCACCCAATTAACTCTGGGGTGTTCTGGTGGGCGTACCCCATTAGAGTGTATTCACCAGCGTTGTGTCTTACTTTCCCAATTGAGTACTATATCTGATACCAACGAGGATATATCCTACAATGTTTTCATTTCGTCCATGTTTTAGTTAGATGCCTCCAACATTATAGGGAGGTCATCTCCAAACATTGAACTAGCAAGAATTGCTTCATCAGGTATGCTTGATATCCTCAGTCCAAAAAAAAAAAAAAAAAAAAAAAAAAAAAAAGGAGTCACCTGGGTCCGTGACAATCGGGACGTGAGTCCCACATGTTTAATCCAATCCGCTACCACTTGACCCGACCGCTCCATCAGGAGTTGCAGAGTTGAGATTGCCTCCAATCGTTCAAACAAGAAATCTTGCAGAGGGAACCAATGAACCCGAAGTTCGCGCCATTTGTCAAAGGAGTCATTAATAGTTTTGATACCCAAGAAAACAAAATAAAAAATTATCGATGGGGCATCTTTTTTTAATGACAGATAGCGACTGAGCTTCATAGTGGGAAGAAGTGCAAGAGAACCGGTGTGATTCAAAACGTGCCGCTTTGTTATTTCGAGTGCTTCCTCCTCTGTAGGAGGGGAAGTGACCTGGATTGTGGGAATTTCCAATCTGTCATCCGACATCGTTTTGGTCAGAACCAGTGTTCCAAGAGGACTGTCAGAACATATAAGCGGCGCAAGGAAATTTTTTGCCGGGCCTATTACTTTATCTTTTTTCGATAGAGTCCTCATTGGCCCTGCAAACGACAACTGTTTACCCATAGACTGATGTAGCAGAGATCGCTTTCGACTTTTTGCTAAGTCCAATGGAGGGAGATCCGTCACTACCCAGTTTTGCCCTTCCCCTGCAGTGGCCACACCACAATCATCATTCGTTCTAGTTTTCTTTGCCAGAGATCCTCCCGTAAGGTTTGCATATAACAGCCTCCCACCTTTCTGTAACAAACCGTGAGTAGCTGAGGCCATGTGGCTTCCTTTCGGAATAGAGTGACCAAGTGGAGAGGGATACTGCTCCCCTCTTGCTTCACGAACATCAGTAGAGTTGTGGTTGCCTACTTCGTACGAATGATTGAAGTAAACCTTGAAGACGTCCAATGAGGTAGATTCTTCTCGGTCAGGGGATGGAGGCGGGGTATGAACCTCTTCCTCAGAAATAAGACGTATACTATCTTTTTCCACTTCAAGAGGATCACAACCCAATTCCTTCCCCGTGGCTCCGAGAATGTCTTCCTCCGATTCTTGATCACACAAATCCGTTCCCACCACTCCCTCCATGCCTTCATCCACCATCTCCTCTAAGCAATCAGAGTGATCTCTCGGAGCCTCATCCTTTACTTCTTTCGCCTCTTCTCCTTCTTCCACCAAGTCCTCTAGATCTTCCTCGTCCAACAGAAAAATCGCCGTTGTATTACGATTCTCTTTGTCTCCGCTAGCCCACTCCGTGGACGGGTTAGGCGGAGAGGTCAAATTTCCAATATTGCGACGACGAATTAAACCCGTTTCTTCATTCTCATATAGCTCCTCCTGATCTTCCCCCGAATCTACCCCTTCAACCTCCTTTTCGATATCTCCTTCATTCAGCCCTGTGTCCTGTGTCTTGGCCGCTTCTCCTCCACTAAGGCCTTCACTCACTTTCTCCACGTTGGCCTCCGTATGCCCTGTGACCTGTCCCTTCATTTCCAAATCCTGGAGTGGAGCCTCCTCCTGATTCCCCACCCCATCCACTCCGGGATCATGAGTTGGATTTTGATAAGGCTTCCAGACCACTATGTCCCACCCCTTCTTTTGGGGGGACGGGTTTTTTTTCCCTTTCACCTCTCGTTCCCCAGACGGACTTGCCACCTTCTCCGATCCGTCTTCCTCTTCCTCAACTGGAGCTTTATTCTTTGACTTTCGAGGATCCGCATTTCTTCGTTTGCTCTTAACACACTCACGATCTCCTGCCAAATGAAAAAACCTCCTACACGTTGTGCACCAAGGGGTGGCAACGCTGGCCACTTCAATATCCACATATCCAAATTCTGCCATGTCGATGGTCAGGTATGGTTTATACCGAAAACGCGCCGATGTGACCAGGTCGAAACGGATATCGAAGAGCTCCGGAGAGCACGGGTCTTTGAAAGCAGGATATGCTTTCAAAATTTGGCCAAAGGCGGCTTCTACCGCTCCCGCCAATTGAGGGAGGGCTGAGACTGGGACTTGCAGACACTTGATCCAAAAGAAAGGAAATGCATCGCCTCTCTCCATTCGTACAACTGATTGTCATTCATCCATGGTTGGAAGGTGACTTTGTAAGTCCTGTTGTCAAGTGTTATCCTATCCTTACCCTTCCGTAACATGAACGAAGCAATTTGGCTCGAGGCAGATACGTACGTGACAAGATTCCGACACTCGTTGTGAAACAGTCCTCTCTGGGGAGGGATACCCATCGGCCTATTAACTGCCCATCCATCTTCATAAATACGCACAAGCCGTTTCTTAACGTCTATCGGAAGAGAAGTAGATTCGTCTCCAAACAGGATTGTCACCGCGTGTGCCTTCAGCCAGTCCACTTGAACTCTGAGAACTTCCGGATCAATGGAGACCCTAACATAATCTCCCCCAACTTCCACTCTGTTTGGATTGGAAGCTGGAGCCAGGTGTCTGGGGAGGAGACCATCGATATAACACGAACTCAAAATCCCTCTTATTCTCTGTTTTTCTGTATCCGACAAGGATGGCGAAGAAGGGGGAGAAGGGGGAGGGGGGGGGGGCGGACGAAGATCCCACATTGTTTGCCATCGTCCTCCTTCCCCTCCACCTATCGCAGATAAAATCCGCCTCACAAGCACGCAGATAGAAATAGGACCAAGGAACAATAACTGCATCTGTCCTCTACCATTAACACCCTAATCGACCTAGCTAATTCTTAGAAAGTTAGCACCAATAAAAATAAATAGAGAGTTATAGCTTATCACTTCATCCACTAATGAAAGCCTGAGAAGTCATCCCGATTTGACGATGAGGTTTTAACCTTGTCCACCAGATGACCTTGAGAGTTACGAAATTGGCTCTTAACAGAGAAGCCATCCCTTCCATCCGTCGGCCCTGCGCAGACCAGCAACCTCCTGCCCCTTGATCTTCTCAAGGGGGAACGCCGTACAGGACATACCGCGCGGAAGTAGGGAGCATTTCCCCAACGAAATCGACAGTCAAAAGTAAGAAATGCTCCACACACGTCGTGAAAGTCAAACGCATCCGGCGCGAGAAAATAGCGGCGTCCTCGAAAATACCGAGAGTGACGACAATAATTTTCGCGATAGCGCAACCTTAGCGCATCCCGGGCACTGTTTCGCGACGCGGCCGTCTGCGCGACCTCCAAGACCTCATTTGTTTTCCATTTGTTGGCCGTCGTACGTCGTATTCGGGGGAAGACTGTAGCACAGTGATAATAATAGGTATTGTCTTTGGTTGTTGTTGTTGTTGTTGTTGTTGTTGTTGTTGTTTTTTAATTATGTCAGAGGTTGACTGTAGGAACAGAGTTCCTGACAGTCAGTGTTGTTTCAGGCCTCGTGGCAGTGACCGCACTACCCACCATGGGCCACCAAATGTTTTTTTTTTTTTTTTTTTTAACTCACCAAATTTGATAATGGCTGGTGAATGTGTTTCAGCACTGCTCTGTCTTTGGTTGTTGTTGTTGTTGTTGTTGTTGTTGTTGTTGTTGTTGTTGTAGGTTGACTGTAGGAACAGAGTTCCTGACAGTCACAGTGTTGTTTCAGGCCTCGCCGCAGGGACCGCAGTACCCACCATGGGCCACCAAATGTTTATTTATTTATTTTTTTATATTACTCACCAAATTTGATAATGGCTGGTGAGTGTGTTTCAGCACTGCTCACCCATGCAGTGAGGCCTCAAAACAGCACCAAACCCAGGCCTCGCCGCACCAACTTAGAGGCTCGCCACACAGGCTGTCGAAAACCCGGTTTTCAACAATTTTGCATCGCCACACAGGCTTTCGAAGAATTGCGGCTCAAAAAACTTTCGACGGGTGTCAGAATGGTACTTTCGACAGCCGCCCTCCAGCAACCGTTTCCTCCCGCCTGCAGGTGACGGAAATTCGACAGTGCCCCTCCGAGCTTTCAAAAATTGCGTTCGAATTTGCGTTCAAGTTGTCAGGGACTGTTCCATCAACTTCCGTGAATCCCGTCCGCCTGGCCATGACCAAAAACCTTGCCCCTCGACAGCCTGTGGCGAAGGGGGGGCAAACTGTCGACCACCGACTTTCGAATTTCTTCTGACACCTGTGGAAACTTTTTGAGTTTCGACAGCTTGTGTGGCGAGCCTCTTACCAAACTTGTCTTTTGAAGGAATAGTGCCCGAAGAGGCCCACTAATTTAAAAGACAAAGGAAAAGAACAAAGCAAAGAACAAAACTTATGTCCAGACCTTCAGTCAGTCTGGACGGGTGGAAAAGAACAAAACTTCCGTCCAGACCAGTAGTAGTAGTCTGGACGGACGGGTAAAAACCCTCACCGAACTTGAGTTTTGAAGGAATAGGGCCTCCCCGAACTTGAGTTTTGAAGGAATAGGGCCTGGCTCCACGACTGTCCGCTATACAAGGGGTCTCGCTCCACTACACTAGACTCACGAAGGAAAAAATTGTGAGTGCTTCTAGAGCTGTCAGAGGTCTAGAACTCTTGAAGAAAGAAGCATCGCTCCACTTATTCCAGACTCTAGAACAACAGAAGCACTCACGAATTTCTCAACACTACATGACAGCCCTTCTGCAGCGCTAGATGACAGCGCCAGCTCCACTTATTCCAGACTCTAGAACAACAGAAGCACTCACGAATTTCTCACCACTACATGACTGTCACAGCCCTTCTACAGCCCTAGATGACAGCGCCAGCTCGTTCTGATGGTCGGGGCAGGAGGCACACTCGCGAAAAAAAGAGGCTGGAGCGGGGGTAGGAGAGAGGACGCTAGAATTTGTGAGCGTCGCAGGCTGTGAACTCTATACAAATCGAGAGTGACCTTCGAGAGCGCTTTCTGACAGCTCTCGACGGAAGGATGTTGTCACGAGTTCCAGTCTAGAGTAAGTGGAGCGAGGCGTTACTCTCGAAACTTTGGGAGTCTAGAGTGGTGGAGCGAGGACCAAAATTTAATAGAGTTGGTGGACAGCTCTCAGTATCGTAGAAAACCTGAGGAACGGGGCATCGCTCCACTAACTGTCCACTATACAACTCCCCAATTCGTGGGACACCGTCGCAGCACTACAAGACGAGGCCTCTATAGCATTTTGTCCGCCCAGACTCCAGGCTCGCTGTCCAAAAAGGCGGACTCAGGGTCCGTGGGTTCATACGACGACCGTCCACGAAACGACTTGTGCAGGCTGGGAGCTATACAAAAATGGACAGTCGATTTTCCACGCTATTTCTGACAACTGTCCAAGCCATTTCACACAAGGATAGTGGACAGTAAGTGGAGCGACATCCCACTGTCCATTTTTCTGTAGTGGACTGCAACGGAGCGAGGCCCGTAGTGTCCCACAGGTGACAGGGCCCAGTGAAGACAAAGGAAACGAGCAAAACGTCTGTCGGGACCAGCAGTCTGGTGGCCAATGGGTGGAAAGCTCTCACCAAAAAGAACAAAAGTGTGTCCAGACCAGCGGTGTGGACGGGTGGGAAACCTCACCAAACTCGTGCGTGCCCAAAAGCTCCTACCAAATGGATGAATTCCAGGCGGTTTGTGACTGTTTGATGAGCACTCACCAAGTGAAATACGCACGAATTCGGACTACTTTCTGACAGAAGGGAATTGGTGACGTAGTCCTGGCAGTGACACCGACCTCACCAAAAACCATGTTTGGTGAGTAGTGCAGCGACTCGGAGGCCTTCCGTCTCGTAAACAAAACTGGGTAATGCTCTCAGCTCCGGTCTTTGTGTGGGGAGGCCAGCCCCATACGTCGTTCATGGATGCAATTGTATGTGTGTTTTTTCCAAGAAGAAACGACTTTAAGAGAAACTGTGGGCCTCGCTTCTATGTAACCGATTGAACACTCTGAACGTGCATTCTCGTTCAAACACGCACGTTCAATTCCCCTGTTACATGCTGCGCCTGCAACAGGCTGCACAGCCTGAAAGCCTGAAAACAAGGGCCTACAGGCCCCGTGTTGTTTTCAGCCTGAAAGCCTGAAAACAAGGGCCTACAGGCCCTGTGTCGTTTCAGCCTGAAAGCCTGAAAACAAGGGCCTACAGGCCCTCTGTCGTTTCAGGCTAAATAAGGGCCTTTCCGGCCCTGAGTATTTTCAGCCTGAAACTGAGGGCCATTTTCAGGCCCTCATCAGTTCAACCTGCCCTGAAACTCAGGCACCAGACCAGGGTTTTAGCTCAGGCCATTTTCAGGCCCTCATCAGTTCAACCTGCCCTGAAACTCAGGCACCAGACCAAGGTTTTAGCTCAGGCCATTTTTGGCCTATTTTCAAGACAACCTTTGTTTGAGCTTCAACCCCAGGGTCTGGCACGTTTTGGCATTGGCAAGAGCAGCCTCCTGGACGGGCCAGCACTATATAAGACTGGCCCGCCCTGCAGGCTGCAGGTAGTTGGGAGGTAGCTCCTAGGTACTTCCCAGGCACTTCACGTGCAGGCAGGAGGCAGTCAGTAGTCTTCAGGATTCGGCAGCAGCACTCTGGAGGTGCGCTGCAGGAGTAGTAGTAGCGTTAGCATTAGGTACCTGCAGCACACCGCCAACTTCACAGGTTAGTACCTGGCTCGTGAGAGAGAGAGAGTTCTTCTTCTTCCTCTTCTCAGTCCACCATCTCCTTCTCACCCTCTCGCTATCTGACTTCACTGCATCAGCAGACTACGAGAGAGAGAGAGAGAGAGAGAGAGCTTGGTGACATTTGGATCCAGACTCGACATTGGACTTCAGACATTTTGAAGAGGGATTATTTGGGACTTGTAACGAGACTTGGTGTGGACGACTTTCCCATCTCCCCCTTCCTCTTCTTCGTCTGATCCCCTCCTCTTCGTCTGTGTATGTCTGGACCTGGCGCCTCTTTCCTGTGTATGGCGCCAGGCCCCT